AGAGGTGTATAATAATGCCTAATTTGAGTGAGGTTAAAAGAGAGAGAGAGACGGAGAGAAGGGGGAACGAGGAGGGAACATTTTTCCATAACTACGCTGCTAAGTAGCCCAGTCGTAATTCACAGTGACCCAGGATAGCTGCATTCATCCTGCTTAATTACGAAGCTGCAGTCATAAAATGGCTTTTTGCACAACTGTGTTGTTTGTGTTTGTGTGCCCCTGTGATTTTCTCTCCATGTGAGGGCCTACTTTGGCTCAAAGCCATCCTTAAGAGGATCCAGTACTGTGCAAAAGTCTTAAACCACCTTGCATTTCTTTATAGTTTGCTTGCAAGAAGCCAGATTTTTTTGTAAAAAAAAAAGAATTTATGTGGTTTTGAGCAATAGCTGTCCAGGAAAAATCTTCTCTGTGTGCACCCAACTCAAGGGATAAACCAATTCTGCGTCTACACATAACAGATTTGACATTTTTAGAACAAAATTTACTAGAAATGAAAAATAGGGCATAGTTTGACGGATATAATGAATATTTTTGCAATGAAAAGGGAAGTCGAAAAGAGACGTTAGCCAAAAACTTGGCACATCTCAGCATTGTGTGCAATGTGCCCTTAAAATATTTGAGGAAACTTTTGAGCAGCTACTTCTACTAATAAATTAATCATCTTAATCTTTATTAATAGTAATAATGTTTTTATAGTCTTAATAATAATTTGAGGAATAGCTAATTGGGGTGAGTGATAGTAGATAAACAGTTACGTCTAACTGGCTGTCTCCCTACTCATGTTAAGGTTAACATGTGTACCAGCCAGGTTAACATTGAGGGAAACTCTTTAATACTTAATTGTTATTGAATCAGAACCTTTACTGACCTCTCGAAGTTCTTCATAAAGACTGGGTGGTCAGTGCTTCCCAACCCCGAGCCAAGACACATATTTCACATTAGAAAAGTCACATGGCACACCACCAAATGTAATTTCTTCTGTTTTACTGGCAGTTGGCAACCCTTTTAATTAGAGCAGGTAGCTGCACTGCCCTCTAGTGGAAGAGAATGTAATTGTTCTGCCCGTTACTCATGCCGATCGCTAATCCGATTGAACCAGATAATCTTCCACGGCACACCTGTCTATACTATCTACAGTATAGACAGGTGTGTGTGTGTTGCTTTCTCACAATTTGGTGTGAAAAGGTACTGTATGCGTTGGTACTGTTGACATCTCTAAGTATATATATGGATTATTTTCTGTTATTGAACAGTTTAGAAACACACAGTCCAATGAATTCCTTTGATCATATCAGTCGATCGGTGGATAAGTAAGAGATCATAATGTGCATCTATGTCATTCTGTATATTTTTAATAACATTAAGAAAACGCTTCTTAATCAAGGTGATTAAAGTCATTTCAGATTTTTTGTTTGTATGTAAAAAAATCTACTCATTTAAATCTACTCTATCCCACATGAGCATTTATCTGTTATCACTGCTGTGATCTTTAATTTAAATGTCATCATTGCACCTCTGTAAGACTGCGTGTGCCACAGTGAAAGAGGTCTCCTCGCAGTGCATCTCCTTGTGTAGTACTGTGTTATGGTTGCCAGCCAAGAACAAAAGTGCTCTTGCCACAGTCCCTTCCCTGCAGGAAACACTCACCTGTAGCTTTTTGAGACAACAAACGCTGCAGCAGCTAGCGAAGCAGTTCTAGGAACACTGTGCTCTGTGAATGTTTGTGGCCTCTGAAAACGTCATAGTTGAAGTGAAATTTCTTGCCTCTTGTGTGAATTTTCTCAATAACTCTGAAGTTGCCAGTTTGGGTGAAAAATTCCCACTGTCACCCTGCTGGGTTAGTTTTATTTCTTTTTATTCTGGAGTATATTTGTAATTTCTGTAATGGTTTGAAGTGACTCCTACAGACAAAATCACTCATTGAGGTTGCACTTACAGTAAACCTCTGCACAGGTGTAAATACAGCCAATTACATCTCTGTTACAACATAACAGATAACAGATATGAGCTTTGTGCATCTTTATGTTACTGTACCATGAAACATAAAAATTATTTAAAAAAAAAA